CCAGTTTTCAAAATTACATGAAAAGAAAACAACACATGTTTGAACTCTTCTCTCTGTATTCTATATCAAGAATTCAATTTTTATTCTAACTTCACTGAAAACAAACTGTTTATTTGCTTTCACACCATACTGGTGTGAAAGCAAAGTAAACAGGTTTTGGCTCCTAATAATTACACAGACTGAGAGCCATGTCATTCAATGCCACTTAAAACTCAATTCCAGGGTGATATTAAGGTGAAATTTGTGATATTAAGGAGAAATTTAAAACCAGTGGTACTCAAAACACTGATCATGTTATACAGGTTGGGAACTTCAGACATTCTATGGCAATACCTCTGATTTTATGCACCAAGCTGAGGAGGGTACCAAACGTGGCCCCTCACTTGAAGAACAGTGGTCTGACTTTGCCTAAGGCAGGGCTCTGAGCATGGTTTTAATTTCACTACAGCAGCCTGAATCCAGTGTCACTCTGATGTGGTGGTGGTTGCTGTCTCACCTGAGCTAGATGAGCCTCCACCCTCAAAGAAGAGACACATGAAAACCAAAAACTTGCTCTCTGGTGACTTGATAGTTTCTTTGGTCCTTTCAAGCCTTCCCACCCCTAGTCACAGCTTAAAGCCCTTTCTGAAGGCTGTGAGGCTGCACCCATCACCCCTGGAGATTGCCCCAACTCTCCCTTGGAAATGCCCATTGAATCAGGCCTTCCCCACCCCGAAAATCCCCTTTGTGCTGGAGGAATGTCCCAGCCAGCACATCTTCACAGCTCCTCCTGGCCGCTCAGCAATGACAGCCAGCATCTGACACACTCACCAGGAGCCATCGGGGAGGCAGACGTGGTGGCAGTGCAGTTTCTACTCTGCACAGTGACACAGGGCTTAATACCCACACAGCCAAGAGACAGGGCAGGGACCCTGCTGTGACACACACAAGCCTGTTTCTCCCACTAAAACTCTGCTGTCTCCCAGCCACACGTTTGCTTTGGACCTCAGTTTGGGCTACACTTCAGCACACCCAGGAGCAACGTTAGCACAGCATTTACAGGCCTTGCCCTCCCCACTCGTGTTGAACAGCCGAGCATTGTTATCTTATTTTTGTTATAGTGTTTGCATTAGTAATGCTGAACAAACCTGAAGCCTCCACTACAGCAAACACAAAAATTGACTCTGTTTATAAAAGAATTAAAGAACTAACGCATGTTGAGAGTCTCTCTCCATTTACAGAAAACATGCACCTCTTCATGACAACAGTTTCTCTGACTGATGAAAGTTTAGAAATCAAAAGAAGTGGCAGAAAACATGCAATTATACACCCCTGAAGAAAATGAGCACTGTGCTCAGATTGGCAAATTTCATCTTCCACAAACCACTAATTAGCAAAAGATTCATCAAGACTAAAGATCTCTGCTTAGTGCCAACTTGCTTACATTGAAGCTGGACCTTGCTCTCTCCTTTGAAACACTCCTGATCTTTGGACTTGGTAACTGAAAGCTGCTATTTCTGGCACTGATTCGTGTGCATGTTTAGGAACCACTGCAACTGGAGCTGTCTCCTTGTGAGCCAGTTACACTACAGAGCTGAGTTAAAAGGAGGTGTCTCTCTTGCTACCTGGCCCTTATAAGAAGTAGATCACCAGAAGACTACTCGCACTTTCAAAGTACTGCCTTCTCCTTGTTTGACAGATTACACTTTTAAGATGTTACATAAAAGCAAAAATAGTCACAAATACTTTGGATCATCTGTCTAGTGTTAGCACTGCCAGAGATGAACTGTGCCAGGAGTGCTTTACATCAGTGTGAAAAAAGTCAGAGTTCCTAAAAAAAATGTTTTCCCAATGAAATATTTATTGAAAAACAAAAAGCAGCTTGTGTGAATGATGACAAAATCCTTCAAACTAGATACTGCATAAAATCTGCTGTACTTCATGGAAGCTAAAAAAATAAATTTTGAATATGAAGTTTGAGTGTCTCCTTGCTATTAGGACATTATCTCAAAGTCCTTGATGCCTCTCAGGCAGACAATTTGAGCACTTGGTATATTTATGTTATTATTTCCCCTGTGAAACTCTTTATTTCATCTTTCCCATTAAAAAAGAACAGGTGTATAAAGGAACACAATTACAACTCTTAATAAATCAGCACCTACAGATGTATTTAATGCTCTTTAAGACAAAACCTGAAGGACCTATGGCTATCAAGTTTCTTTTTGTTTGTTTCCAATCAGCTTCAGAGAAAAAGAAATCAGCTTGACACAAAAATCAAAGCAGCATTTTAATATGCACAAAGTCTAGCTTCGTTTGTTCAGCAGTCCAATCCAGTTCCTGCAGAAAAGGAGTGGGTGGTTGCTGCTACCAACTTAAATGGAAGCAGGATCAGTCACGAGAGGAGAACTATCTAGAGCTGTTACATTGGATGCTGCAATACTTGCCTGAACAATGGAAGTATTCCGAAGGACACGCTCTTGGGTACCTGTCCAGCAGCACAAACTCCTAATCCTCCTCCTCTCTCTACCACCACCTGGCTCATTATGTTAAATCAGAGCCCAAAGATGCCATCCTATTATGTCAAAGGCATGCATTTTAACTTCAGCCAGAAAGGGCTACTTTCAATTTACACTGCTAAATCAGTTGGCTAATTTCTATAGCAATTACTTGAAAACACAATTCATTTTTATAGCTTGTTTTACCACGTGAAAGCTTCCTGTGCCCTTAGATGCAAACTGAAGTGCCTCTGTCAATTTTGTACCCTGTGAGAAGTCCATAAGACACAGGAACCTTCACTTGTGCAGATGCATGCCTAAAATTATCAGAATTAAGAAAGCGTTGTTTGAAGTCACACACATTGCAAGTGCTCATTCATTTGTGAGACACAAATATAAAACTGGTGTTTGGGGCACCCAAGCCCTCTCCCACCGTTGTTTGAGCAATAGTGCATTCTAGAGTGGCAAAATCCAGCACTCACTGGCGGGCAGCGAGAGTCACCCTGATGACTGCACCAGGCACCAGATGAAAAAAGCCTGGATTTCCCTGCTCCCGAGAGCCTTGGATGTGTCTGAGCACACGCTGCCACACGGAACAGCTCTGGCGTGCTACACTGAAGTTCGGCTGGAGAAGCTGACAGCCCCCCCCGGATGGAGATAAAATGGGCAGATTCGCTTTATTTTACACCAGCAGCTGACCCACAGCTGTAAATCAGCCACCGAGGGGCCCACTGGACAGCACACAAGCCTCTCCATAGATTTCCAACTAAAGTGGCCCTGGCTTTTCCAGCTGTGTTTCACAAAATGCAAGAAATGACAGCAGGTAACTGTACTTCTATTTTCATGCTTAGGAATAACTTATTTTTCCAGATCCTGATGTGAGTAAAGCAGCCAACGCTCTAAATCAAAGTGGCACCGTAAAAGGATTTTTCTTCAAGTGTTGATCCACCCCGAAGAAAATCCTAATAAATATACATTTTTGCCGTCGCTTCCAAAAGATGAACCACCTTACTCACAAATTTCCCCCCAGACGCCTCTGTCTCTCCGCGCTGGCGGTGCTCCCAAGGAAGACCCATGCGCGCTATTGCTCAGGGAAAAGACAGGCTAATCCCCAGCCCTAACACCAACCCCTGAAAAGGGCCGGGCAGCGGGGCCAGCCGGGTCCTGCCCAGCCATATGTCAGCTTTGCTACAGCGGAGTGAAAGTCTCCCCCAGGCCCTTTTAGCTCCCTCGGCACTACAGGACGCACTTCTCGGGGTTCCCCGAATCCCCCGCTCTTGCTGGGGGAACGGAGCCGGGCTGCAGCCCCCGGCTCCAGGGGCTCCCCGGCGCGCACGCGAACTTACCGGGGTGGCGCGGCTTTCCTGGCGTCGGAGGGAGCCCGGCTCCGGAGAGCACAACCGGCCGCGCTACCGGGGCCGGAACAGCCACCTCGATAGAAAAGTACATTCCAGCTACCCGCACCTGCTTCGGCTCGGGATCCCCCCGCACCGGCGGGGGAGGGGGGCGTATTTTAAGGTCAACTTCGCCGCTCTCCCTCCTCTGCTCATCTCAGCACGAACCCCCCCACCCCGGAGGAGACGGGAAGGATCCCCGCCCCGGGCTCCTCTGCCCGGGCACCAATTTAAAGGTAGAGATATAACAAGCCCTGATGACTCGCAAAGCCAGAGGGGGTGGAGGAGTGTCGCCGCCCCCCGCCCCCCCCCCCCGATGCCCCGCAGCCCCCCAGCCCCACTCACCACATGCAGCTCCACCTGAGAACTAAAGCATGGAGAGGGGGAGGTCGGAAACTCTCGCCCTAGAGCAGCTCCATATGTCGCTCCTCGCCGCGCCGCTCCGGGGAGAGGCCGGGTGGGATGCGGAGGAGGAGGAAAGGAGGAGGAGGAGGAGGAAAAGAGGAGGAGGCAGGAGCAGGCGGCGTGAGGATTTAAGCCTCCGCTCTGCCCCGGCGGCTGCGATCACGCAGCATTATACAATGGAGGAGGAGGAGGAGAAGGAGGAGGCACCACCAGCCCCGGCTCCCAGCACTTGCCGCCAGCACTGACGACAGGGGCGGCTCCGGCGAGCTCCTCACCCTCCGGCCCGCGTCAAAGCTCCGCCTCGGCCCCGGCCCTCCTCCCCCGCCCCCCCAACCCCCGCGGCTGCTGCCGCTGCTCCTGCTCCTCCTCCTCCCCCTCCTCCTCCCCCGCTCCGGCTCCCCGCGCTGCCCACGCGTGCCCCGGCCCCCGCCGCCGCCGCGGCTTCCCCGGGGAGCGCCGGGCCGGCACAAAGGCGGGTGCCAGCGCGCCCCGACCGCAAATATGACAAGTATCCCTGCTATCCGGTGGCGGGGACCCGGCCGGGGCACGGGGCTCTGCCAGCCCTGCTCCCCGCGTGGGGCTGGCCCTGCGTTGTCCCGGTACAACCCAAAATTCTCCCCCCCGCACCTCCGGTCAGCCCCCGGCCCGGCCAAGCACAGCAGGGGCGAGGGGGGGATGCGGAGAAAGCCCGGGGCGCTGCCGGCCGCCCCCCGCCCCGGGACCTCACCTGGGAGCCGAGGGAGGCGGCGGCCCCCGTCCGTGGAATCCTCGCTGCTAATTTGGGCTGTGCAGATACCACCGAAGCACAAAAATGAGGCCAAACGGAGATGTTCGAGCGCGCGAAGACTTGGGGGAAGGAGGGAAGCGCTCGGCACCAGGCGCTATCTGGAAAGAAGATGATTATTTTAAGTCACCTCAATGACTGAGTTTTGAAAGGGGCTGTAATCCCAGCCGGCGCTGTTAAAGGCGATTCAAACACCTCACAGTTTTGGCTGTAGCCCCAGCAGGCATCTCGGATCGTTCCGGCCTTTCATGTTCCACTAAACCGGTTGTACTTCGGGACAATAAAGCTTTAAGACCTAATATAAAGGCGATTATTAGTCATTAATACCACGACTCTTTTAGGTATTATGCTCAAAACGGTCTGTAATGATTTGTGATCAATCAAGATGATAGTCTTACTAGAAACTAAGTTCCATTTGCAGTTAGAAAACCGAAAAGGAAAAGGATACCTTTAGAAGAAAGGTTTCCTTGCTCTGGAAACTGTATCTGACAAAAATTCACAAAGGAAAAACAACACCAAACCATTAAAACAGTGAATCTGCCAAAATAAAAGGAGACTAGCTGCTGATTTTATGGATTCTTAAAATTAGAATTGAAAAGGCCCCATCACCTTGATGTTAAAACGCCAGGACTGGCACTTGAGCACTCTGCTGAACTCACTAAAAATAAAAGAAAGGACATCAGACCTAAAAACTGACGTTTTATTTTGCAGGTTTGGAGGCCTCAGCACACCTTTCCCTTTCCACCCGTGCTATTCCTTTGAGGAGATCCAAGCTCTCTCCTCCCTTATCTGTGGCACAGAGTTAGCCCTAGACCAATCTGCAAAGCAATTCACGAGCCATTTACTAGATTTTGACGAGTGATTTGCGAATTGCCCAGGAGCTGGCAAACATTAAAACCAGAATCTCCCTGGCTGGATACTTTCCAGCAGCAAGGCACTGAAATTTGGTCCCTCTGCCTGGGGAAACCAGTCTCTCCCTGAAATTACCAGCTTCACAACAAAATCACTAAATAAAAGGAAAAGGTTCATCTTCTTTAGGGCCTGAGTGATACCTGTTCAGTGGGCTTCTGCCTACTCAAAAGCCACACAGAATATTTGTACTACTTGCACATTGTTGGCTAGGTTGTTTGGTTTTTGTTGTTGTTGGTTTTTTTTTTTTGGTTTTTTTTTTTTTTTTTTTGCATGCCAGATTCACTGAATTTCGGGGCCCCATTCCACCCTCCTTTACACCAGATTTGTAACTCAGCGGGATCTGGCCTTGCGCAATTGCGCCGTGGATGCGCCCAGCCGAGCAGCGCCTGCCTTCCGGAGCTCAAAGTCCGCAGCAGGTTTACAGTGCCCGTGCCTGGGTGTGTGCACGCTATCACCGGCACCAGAGGCAGAACCACAAACATTTGCTAAATAAGCAGCTGGGCTCCAGCCCGATGCGCACAGCCCTTGCCATGATACAGTCGGCAGTAAAAAGCCTGAGCCTGTGTCATTCGAGTTTTAAACGCTTCTGACTTCGCTCGGTTGCTCCAGTTTTACACCAGCATAAGAAAAAGCTCACCGCCCCTTCTGTTTCCTACTGTAACTCTCCCGAGTCTTTCTTGGCAGGAGTTTACAGTCACGCTGTAACTCAGATTGTGCCTCTGAACACAACTAGTACAACCTGCATCCACACTCAGAAGCACTCCCAGCTGAGCATAGGTCACGATACGAATCGATATGAATACAGCTCCTTCCTGTGCTTCGTGCACAGCACAGGCTCCAGCGCGGCGGGACGAGGTTGGGCTAGGCAAGGAGAATAATCCCGCGGCTGCCTGCTCCTCACATGGCCTCACACCTGATTGAGGGAGACCTTTCTGGCCAAGAAACTCTGCTCTGCAGCTCTGGAGAAGCCTTACCAGAGGGTGTCTGCAAGACCCAAAAGCAGTTTGCCTGAGCACTTCAGTAAGCACGGAGAAGCAGCCTGCAATGGAGCCACAAAATGCCGTGCTAGGAAGTGTGTCGGCAGAGGTTTCCAGAGCCTGCGGGAGCAGGAGGGGGAATAGTCTGAGCGTCTGCAAGGAGGAGCCACCCAAAATGCATCCCATTTCAGAACCATGTATGTATGGGCTTCCCAGGGAGTAGTAACACAGGTTTAGCTGTGCAGTTGTAGCCTTGACAGAGGCCCTTGAGCTGCTCACATGTGAAGATGACACAGTAAAAGAGAAGGAGCTGAGCTGTGTCTTTCTGCAGCAGCACCGACCTGATGTGGGCTACAGGCACAGTCTGAGTGCAGCCCTGTCTTTGAGCAAGGATGGTCAATGCCTGTCTGATTGAGGCCAGGTCTCACAAAAATAATTCAAAAACCACCCCTGCATTGAAGATAAATAAATGAACAAGGTAATAAATGAACAAACAGAAATCAAACATTGGGAATGGGGAAACAGACACTGGACTTCATAAATCAATTCATTAGAAACACTACAGACTGCCAGGTAATCTGCCCATCAACACGGATGCTAATTAGGGAAGAGTGGCAAAGTTTGTGCTGGAATGTTGGCATCCCTTGCATATTTCAAAAATAGAGGGAGTGAATTGCTTCCTATGCTTCTAATTGCATCTTTGGCCTTTTCCTTTCTGATTGCAATACATATGAATACTATGAGATTTCATCAGGTAATTGTTCAACACAACTTCATTTTCTCCCTGGATGTCTTTGTTTTGGTGCATGCAGAAGCTGGCAGGCAAACACCAAATACTGCCTCCCAGAGCAGACAACTTTTTGCAAATAAAGACCCCCTCAGCAATGGTACCTTGGGAGAAGCTAGACAAAGGGCCTGCCTACAGCAGAGCTGCTCGTTCCACCTGAGCAGCGAGGCTCCCCTGGGTAAGGAGAAAGCATGCTGCAAGCAAAGGCACGGTGAAACACTGCTCACACCTTGTGCAGGCTCTCTTCAGGCTCAGCACTGACCTCCAGGAGTAGCACCCTTCTCATGTGAGAGGCTCAGCCACAAATAAAAAACAAGTTCCTCAGTAAAAAACTGAGGTGCTGCATTACTTCAGCCTGCACCTGTACACAAGCAGGCAAGGAGCTGCACCTGGGAGCTGGGCAGCTTTCCTTGGGATTTCAATGGCTTTTTCTTATTTTCTGCTGTTACAACTCTAACACGGCTGTCCCATGTGTCCTAAAGCACAGGAGTCAGTAAAAACCATGATGATCCACTCATGTCACTCCAGTTTTAGCTCTTTTTCCCCCCTTCATTTTCTCCTTTAGTTTATATTTTTGTCCTTTAATGTGTTTGTGGCAGTAGGAGAAACACCGTTCCCTAGAATGCATAACGTGCTTAATTATTATTCTCGGTTAGTTCTCTAGGAAAAAAAAACCCTACAGGAGAAATCAGTTTAATTAATGAGTATGACCAAGTGCAGCCTTAGTTTTAATGCAGTATCATATATTATATGTCCAGTTGGGCAGTTGATCTTCTTTGGGTAAAATGAACAGCCATGCAAAAAACGAGGGAGCTCATGAATCAATATTCTGAGTGCAACTAACCCCTTTTGTATAGTTATTCTAAGCTTCCTACAGATTTTGATGAAAATGTTGGTTCCCAAATACTGCTTTTGGCTTTGGTAATGCAGGATCAGGCCTGTACAGTCTAGTAATAGGAAGCTATTGCTTGGCAGTACCAAGGGTTGTGCCACATGGTAAATTCATTAAGTAATTAAGGGAAAGAACCCAACTCTTAACTCCAGGATAACTCTCAAATATCCACACCAAATAAAAATCCCGAGTGCGTGCAAACGACAGGGGTAGCAAGATTTCATCTGAATGTAAGATTTGGTGATTTAGATGTTTTTCAGAAGGGCTACTCCTCACATACTAAATTATTAAGGAAATATTATGGAACAGGATTATCAGGAAAGAAAAAAAGAAGCAGTGTGCATTAGCTGGCTTAGTCAGAGGAGGTTTTGCTGCATTCCCCATGCAGGGAGATGACTCCCTCCCTCTGTAATTCCCTGTGCACTCCCAGTCCTCTGGAGACTGTTGGTGTGCATCATCTTTGCTCCAGCTGAAAGACTGTCCTCTGACAGAGGTTCTGGCTGCCTACCATCACTGTGTATCTCCTTACATCTTTCAGCCTTTTAATAAAACTCTGTGTTCCTTTCCAAATCCTATTCAGGCTGCATCCCTTGCAAGATGTGCTTCATTCCTGGCCCAGGCCAGACTGTTCACACTGGCACTGCCTGTATGGCACACAGGCTCCTAAAACAGTCTCTCCTTTCCAATCCTGCTTCTTGTAACACAGTGAATTGTACTCTGCACTGAGCTGAGTTTTAAACAATTTCAGGCTGCTTTTCTTTCCCTTTCAATGCTCACTCTGCAGTCTCTATCAAAAGCACAAGTCATTCTTTTCTGGAACACTTGGTTACTTTTTTGAAGAGAGGCTACGCTGATGTCCTGATATTCATCTCATACCAGGGCCAGTGGATCAAGAGGAAAAAAATCTGCAGATAAAACCAAAGCTTCTGTTTTAGAGCTAAGGAGGGAATACTTCTAATCAAGAAAAAACACAGAAACGGTGGAGAAAAATAGAGATGGCCAGTCTTCAGGCCTAATTAACCACTGGTGTAAACAGATGTCACTGCAATCAAGCCAGAAGCCTTTGGGCCACCCACCAGCCTTGAGCACAAACCCAACATGAGCCTGAAAATCTTAACAATGTGGGGCTGTCAAACATGCAAGCCACACACACTTCAGCACAAAGGTCCCCAGCACATCCCCAATGCTGAGGGACCACCTGCTCCTGGTTCACCAGGGGAGAACAGCTCTACTGCTCTGCCTTACCCTGAGTGCTGCACACACTACAGCCCTCTCCTGAAGCAAAGCTACTCCTACAAAGCTCTCCATGGAGCCATACATTTCTGGAGCACAGATGCCCCTAAACACCCTTGAAACCTGAAAGAGGCCTGGGTGCATAGGCAGGTTGGAAAGAGGCCTGGGTGCATAGGCAGCTGCTCAACCCTGCTCAGATGCCAAAGGCTTGAGAGACCAAATGGGGCCACCAGTGGGGTGACCAGAGGCTTCTAGAAGTG